TTAATGATGAATAACTATCTAATCTTTTAATCTTTTATCTACTGGTTTAGTTGTTTATACCTATTGTACCTATGTGTTTCTTTCATAATTTAAAATATATCTTTGTAGGTTACGCATACGATAATGTACCAATACAATAGCTTAATTTGCCTTTTAAATAAAATTTTGTGATATTACCTAATTAATTCTGCGCCGACTATCCTTGTGTTTGAAGCTACTTGTAAATAATTAAAATGCTTTGATCCTTTTCCCCAATCAACTAGGAAAATATTTGCATCACGCTAATAAAAATACATAAATACGTTTTAAGTTAAAATTCATATAATCTACAGCTGCCTAAAAGTTATATTACTTATCAATATTATCTTATACTTGTTTTAAATATGCATCTTTAAGACTAGACATCCATTGATTTTCCCCATCGCTATTAAATCCATGTACTATAAATACAGTGAATGGCCTATTAGGATCGAAGTCCGATTCTTCTAATACAATATTCGGCCATAATTGTACAGTGTATCGAGAATTTTGATTTCTAAAATAAATAGTACAAGCATAAATTTATTGACAAATTATAAAAATTAAAAACATGACGTACCTAGTATATGAATAAATTTTTACTTCTACCTCTTCAGGCGTCATAGGTTGTGGAAATGGTCTTAAATTTGATAACCAAGGTTGATCCATTGGGAAACAACCAAGTTCRTCAAAACATCTAGATTCGTTCCCAAAGCCTAATGAATAAATATCGTGTTATTAATCTGAATTTTTATAAGCAATATTTAACAGTTTAATGGAAATTATTATTACTATAAATAAAAACGATAATAGCATTAATTATAATTTGTTTATAAACATGGATAAAAATYAGTAAAAAACATACTTAGGCTTATACATTTTTATAATAAAATATCTTTGAGGAAATATTAAAATTTCAATATAATCAAACGTAAAAGATGRTTTTAAATTAAAGATTTTTAAAATTATTTTACAACATTAGGTTCCTTCCCCTCCCCTTGGTTTAAAAAACAAGGGCCGGATGGGAACTGTTTATATCACAATACTGTCACATTGTTTCCATATCATTTATTCACCAACTTAAAATATTATACATAGGACCTCTAACTACCTTGAATACAACATTAAGTACCTATATTTAGTACCTGCAATAATATTTTGAAAATATGAGCAATTTATTTTGGTTGGTTTTTATAAGTTATAACATTATATTCAACTGCACCCACGTGATACATATACTACTTAATTTTTTTTTTTTTACCACGTATATAATATTGCTACAACCTTGGTATACAGGCATGATCATATCATTTTGTATATTAGTATATTAAATACTTGCGTGAAATATTTCTCACTAAATAAAATACTCATTCAGTCATTCTAGCTCTCAAAACAATAAGCATAGAAAGATAATGAAGTTGGTTAACATAACTTTTTAAACTACCTTAAAGCTATTATTATTTCAACATTTGATTTATTTGTTTACCAAGACTGGGTGAAATACATTGCTGAAGTAATACAGCTCTAAGGATGTTATCTGCATTCTTGGGTATTACACATTTAGCTTTTTTTATTATTTCTTCAATAGATTTTAATGGGAATTTTTTAAGCGTCTCTTTGGTTGTCGTGATAGTTTTGTTCACCACTATAGCTCCATTTTGTAGTGATTCTTTTGTTATTGTGACAGTTTTGTTTACTACTTTGGTGCCACTCTGTTTCACACAATTGCCAATCTTTTCACATACATCTTTAACATTTTGCGCTATCGATACGGAAGAACTTTGAACGTCCGTCACTGCATTTTTAACGATTCCTGTTATTTTATTAACAGAATTATCAGGTAACTGCCCATTACCTGTCAACAATCAATTAAATAGATATAGATAATTTACAAACAACTTAAAACTCAAAATAAAAATTGTCATATTATTAAATAACCGGTCACGACATCGATATTTACTATAAGTACA